CCTGGGAACAAGTTGTCAGCAGCTGCTTCTCCGCTTCCTTCCCACTCTAAGCCCTCACTTCCTAATCAGCTCAGGCTGCCCCTATCTGAATGGCCATGCACCCCTACATGCAATAAGCCCCCTATCTACCCAAGACTGGTGCTCAAGAATCAGTGCACGTTGAATGAATGAATGAATGAATGATCAGAAAGGTTAACCTTACACGATTTCGTTCATTCATTCAGCAATATTTACTGTCCTGGATGCTGGGAGGACAAAAGAAACCAAGTCCCTGTTCTCATGAAGCTAACCGTGCAGTGGAGGGAGACAGATAGTATACAAATGCACAAATCAATATGGAATATAATAGCAGGTAGTGGTGAGTGTTAAGGAGAAAGTAGAGTAAGACAAGGAGATTGAGACAGACAGATTGGGGGCAGTTCTTTTCATTGAGTGCTCGGGAGGCCTCTCCAAGGAGATGGCATTTGGAAAGAGACGAGGTCGCAGGAGAAAGTGTCACGCAGCCATGTTGACAATAGTAAGTGCAAAGGCCCGAGGTGGGGGTGGGGGTGAAAATCACTAAAACAAACAGAGGAAGTGGATAACGGTGGGCCTTGGCATGACCTAAGAGCAGGGGTTCTTAAACATCAGCATGCATCAGAATCGCAGAAAGGTTTATGAAAACATGGACTGTGGTCTCTACCCTCAGTGTTCGCTTATCCGGGGCGGGGCCTGAGAACGTGCATTTCTAACAGTCCCTGTGTGATGCTGATCCGGCTGGTCCAGGGACGACGGCATAAGGCCTCTAGTATCAACCAGTCCTTTCCTGCTCAGCACTCACCACAAGCAGTCACAGGCCATTGTTGCTTGATTATCTACCTCCCTGGTGGCTGGATGTGCCCTGAGAACAGATGGCGGATCTGCCCATGGGGCTTTAGTAAGCACTCAATAAAACATTTGCTGAATGAATTCCTCAAAAATACCGAGCCTTGCCTCACTCTCTTTTGCTATGCTGCTGTACACCTGACTCCCAGCAGGTGCTTGGGTCAGGCCCATTTCTTACCCATCTCCCACCCAAGCAAAGAGTGTCACCTGCCGTTCTACAGATGCTCCATGTACTCCCTTCTCACAGCTCCATGCCTTCGCACATGCTGTTCCATCCACCCAGAATGTCCTTGCCTCTCTGTCTACTTCATAAATTCCTACCTGTTCTTCAGGGCTCTGCTTCCAGAATCTCCTTCCCAACGCCCTTCCACCGGGGTTAGGGTGCTCCTTGGGGTCCTGTTTCCACTCATGTCACAAGGATTTGTTCATACAATTGTCTTCCCTTCTTGACTAGAGGTCACAGCCGGGCAGCCCCCCAGGCTGAACCAGTCAACAGAGGTGGTCTACTGTGGCCGCAGTGTCTTAAATTTAATTTCGGGGTCAAAATTGGAGAGTTGGGGAATTTCACACAAAAGCCAGACTCTGTGCTCCTGTAGGAAAGTCGGGGCCGGCATTTCCATGAGCCACGATCTGCCAGAGCCTGGGATTCTGTCCCCTTTGCTTTGGTGGCCCTAGCAACCAGCACAGCACCTCGTCCAGGGCAGGCACACAAGGAAGGCTTATTAACGAAACTGTAAAGAATACTCTAGGTGATTTTTTAAAACGTCGGTTCCAAGAGCAGGTGTCCTGAGGCTGGTTCCGATTCTAGCTGACTTGCTGCATGACCTTGGGCTCTCTCTGGACCTCAGTTTCTTTGCCTGTTAAATTGAAGTAATAACACTTTTCACTTCCCAGGGTCATTGCATCAAACAAGAGAGAGGCTGTGAAGTCCTGAGCACGTGCCTGGCATTTAATGCTCCATCAGCATGAGCTGTTTCTGCACGGAGCTCGGTCCATGGTACTCTCCAGGATGGAACTGTGAGAGGAGTCAGAGGCAGGAGAGGTCCCTGCCAGGGTCGGAAGGGTGACAGACTACCTGTGTTCAATCCCCAGTTCTGTCATTCACGGTATGGGCGAACCCCCTGTAAGTCAGCTTTCTCTGGCAATCTATTCCCTTAATTTTTTAAATCAAGATCGCTCTGGCACTACAGCTGTGGAGCAACATTTTCAACAAAAACCTTCCACCACAGGGCCCGAGCCTTTAGTCCGGTGCAGAGATCCACAGCAGGGGCCTGAATGGCAAGGTGCTGCAGAGTTACTGGCTTGGGGCGTGGGTATGTTTGTGTTTTGTCTCCTACAGGTCCCAAGTGGCTGGAGCCTCGGTGGATAAGACCTTACTGTGAACAGGAAGGACCTGCCCTTCAACCCGATTCCTCAGATGACACAGCTGACCTTGGACACTACTCATAAACTCACACTGGGTCTTCGGGCCCCTCTCGAACCTTTCCTGGGGTTACCTGGAGAAGCCTTAAGCAGCTGCAACAGTGTTCTGAGGAAGTACGAGCTAGAATGGGGGCTTCTCCTACCCCAGAGAATACTTTTTTGGCTTACTTACCTGTAGTCTCCACACAGTCTGGGGTAGGTATTTTATGCTGCTTGTTTATATTATTGAGCCCTGCAGCAGCAGAACAACACTTATATTGGGCTTATATTATGGACCCCCTTTATTCCGCCCTGTCTCTTGGTGGGATTTGAAAGCCCTGTTATCAAGCAATGACACTCGCTGGACAGGAGGAACTTGGCTTTTCCCTGATGGGCCACTACAAGAGAATGAGGATTGGTTCCAGGACAATGCCACTGTTCCTTTTTTTTTTTTTAATCCTCACCCGAGGACATTTTTGCATTTATTTTCAGATAGAGTGGGAGGAAGAGAGGGGAGAAGAGAGAGAGAGAAACATCGATATGAGAGAGACACATCGAGTGGTTGCCACCCACACAACCCCAACCAGGGCCAGGGACAAACTACAACCAAGGTTCGTTCCCTTAGCGAGAACCGAACCCGGGACTCTCTGATCCGCAGGTCAATGCTCTAACCACTGAGCCAAACTGACCAGGGCCCACTGTTTCATTTTTATCAGAGCAACCCCCCCATTTGTTTACCCATCCATTAAACCCCCTACAACACTGGGCATCTGACTTAACCTCATTTGGGCCTCAGTTTCCCCATCTATCGAATGGGGATGATACAAGGGGGTTATTGTGAATATCAAGTATGAACATGAATATTAAGTTAATTAATCCTTTAAAGCACTTCGAATGGAGCCAGCATTCAGCACGTGCCCAACGCACGCCAGTTCCTGCCGTCACAGCTGCTCAGGGAGGGCTGTATAGGATTTCTCAGGGCCTTTCAAGATTCCAAAACTCTCTGGCTGCCTAAAAGCCAGTGGCCCTCATCATGCAGCTGTCACTGAGTCATCAATAATGTACAGAAGGCCCTTGGGATGAGGAGAGCAGAATTCAGTATATAGGGTGTACCATCTCCCTGGAAAGATACAGAAGGTTCTTATAATGGTGCTGACTACAGTCACAGAGTAGCAGCAACAACAGGTAAAGAGTGGATGCGGCGCAGAGGAGTGCAGCCCTACATGGGAGGTGCTGTTACCCAGCCAACAGGAGGAAACTGTGGCTCCAGAGGGTGCCCTGGATGTATCCCAGTGTCTCAGCTCCATGGAGCTGCCTCAGAAGGCTGACTCACTCAGTCCTGTAGGGACTAATGAAGTCACAGTGAACAAGACAGCCTGGAGGGGGAGGCAGGAAGACCAGAGAGGCCTGGGGTGTCTCAGACAGACACGCATGGGGTCTCTAAAGACAAAAAGTAGTTAAGGAAAATGAAGCAGAGACAGAATACCCAGAATGCTTCCCAAGAAGAGAGAATTCCAAACAATTCGCATTGTTTTACTGCGGGGGGCTGGTAGGTACGCTGAGACGCAGAGCGGCCGAGAGAACAAACCGCTCCAGGTAACTGAAAGGCATGTGATGGCAAATCCTGAACACAGGCCTCTTCCTGAGGCTGCTCCTCCCTGTCAGCATCACTTGGGGAGGGGTGTGTGAAAACAGGGGTGCAGCTGGCTAACCTCTGATGACAATGGCAAACCAAATCCATCCAGATGAATTTTCCTCATTCACTCATTCAGTTGTTGAGTGTTGAGCACCTACTTACATACGTGCTTTCTCTTTTAAGCCTCAGGACAACCCCATGAAGCGGGTTCCACTAGCCCATCTTTCAAGATGAGGGCAGAGACTCGGGGGTGAGGTGACTTGCCTGGGTCAGGAAGTTGGCAGTGATTTCAGCTCGGGTGTCCTAACCACAGAGCAGGTGCTTGTATGACCACAGGGTCCTGGATGCATTCTCCATTTTACAAGGGGAAACGGGCTCCGGGAAAGGTACTTCCAATTCCTCCATCCAATCCTTCGCCCCCATCAAGTTCACTGTTCTCCCTGTGCTCACGGACACCACTGTAAACGCGTTCATATTTTAGATTTTAAACTGCATAACATCCTTGGGCTTGAAAAATGAGATTTCCCTGCAGGATGCGGGGCAAGGAGTGGATTTCTTGATGCACCTCGCGGCCGCGCTCCCCGGAACCTGGGAACCGGGGGAGCAGTAAGAACCTCAGCGATATCAAACCCGCTCTAAGCTCGGCTCCAGCAACTGCGGCCTCGCCTAATGCGCAGGCGCCGCTCCAGTCTCCCGCTCTCTCGAACGGGCCCTCAGTGGGCGAATCCACATCCAGGAGGGCAGGGGATACGGCGAATCCCCATTCCTCCGAAGATGGACCATGCCAGCCTATAGCCAATCAGAATGCTTGTTCTATCACTACTCTGGCTACAGGATGTTGGCGCTTCTTTTCCTAGAACTTTCCGGCAGTGCGTGGGGGTGGGAGGTGAAATGATTGACATTTCCTAAAACCATTAGCCAAGCAGGATAAACTTGAAGAGCAGACACTACTACGAATTGCTTTGCAAGAAAGATCTGTTTGCCCCGCCCCGTCCTCCCACTGGTCTTCGAAAGCCTTCGGGGTGGGAGCTTCTGGTGGCAGCCAATCGAGGGTCAGAGAGGAGGTGGAGGAGGCGGGGCAGGCGGTTGTCCGGCCAGTGCGTCTGGCGCGGTGCCTGGGGCGCCAGGGTTGCAGGTCAGCCTGATGATCCCCACCTGGCAGTGGCTGGGCGGGGAGCCGGAGCCGTGTCACCTCGCTTGCATCTTCCAGGCGGCCTACTGAGGCCTTGAGCCGGGCCGCATCTGGAGCGCCCTGTGCCCCGCCCCCAACCCTAGTGACCGATACCCGCCCCCAGTGCCGCCCAGAGGGTCCAGTCCCCGTCTGTCCCCGTTTTCCCCGCGGGCACGGGCCCCAACGCCTGTAGCCGCCGCTCTTCCCCTGTGATCTGTGGAGGTGGTTGGTTACCATGGTGAAGTTGGCAGCCAAATGCATTCTGGCAGGTGAGTCTGAAATTTACAGTGTCCGGTGTTCAGAGACCTCATAAGTTATCGAGAGCTTTTGTCCACGTAAATTGTCTACCTTCCTTCCCTTTCTCCCAAAGGCGAGGTAATGCAATCACTGATCGTGTAAATTCCATTAGGCGTGGGAGAATGTTCGTCCAGAGCACATTGGTAGCTCTGGCTGATTTCCCCGACTCCCTGTCCTACTCCGAAACCACCTTCACCAGCTTGAGCTGCACTCGGGGAGGCTGGACTCCTTAAACATCAGGCTGAGCACACCGAGCGAAGGTGCTTCAGCTAACCCGCGTGCTGTACCCCGAAGTTAGGCATCAATGATTTTGGTAGTCCTTATGGGATTTTTCCTGACCCCGCCCCCTCTGATAACAGGGGTTAGACAGTGATGGACAGTGACCAGAGTTTGCAAAAAGTGTTGTCTTTAACGTAACTGCTGCCCACGCCCAGGGGGACATAAATGTTGGATTCCCCAAAGACAGGAATTTTTGTTTGGTTGACTGATGCATCCCAAGCACCCAGAACAACATCTGGAATCTAGTAGGTCCTCAGTAAACATTTGTAGACTGATTGACAATGTGGCACTCACATTTATGGTGCCCTCTTTGTATCAGGCTGCAGATTTAAGAAAAACATTTGCCTGGATTATAGACCTGTGACCACAGCACACACATGGACTTTATCGAGTCCTTGCTGCCTGCCAGGCACGCTGTCTCATTCCTTCCTCACACCAACACAGTGGGGTAGGTAGATGCTGTATTGTCCTGACCTTCCTGAGGCACTGAGAGGTAGTCTCTTACCCAAGGCCACCCATAGTGAAGGAAGGTTATAGGCAGGATTTCAACTCCCAGATCTGCCCAACTCCAGAACTCTTAACCTAGGTTAGACTTGAAACCTGTAACCTTTCCAGGGTCCCTTGACTGGCTCAGGAAAGAAGCAGTGAGGAATTATAAAGAGGAAAAAGATTCTTTGTTTTTAATTCATCCCTTCCAGACTGGAATAGATGATATTTTTAATGACTTTTCTAATTTGGAAATAAAAGGGTCACAGAGAGAGATGGCTGACAACAGTGACTCAGGTCATACTGGAGCAAAGGGACCAGGGTTCTCGAGCAGCCCCTGGTCGCCAGCGCCAGGGAGGCAGCATCGTGCCACAGAAATCACTCTGCCTGTTCCGCTCCTCGGCTGTGTCCTCCTGGCCAGCACTTCTGTGCCTCAGTTTTCTCGTGGATAAGGTGGGAATGTTTTTTCTGAAGTTAGATTTTTTTTTTTTTTTGGTTAATCTTCACCTGAGTATATTTTTTCATTGATTTTTAGATAGACTGGAAGGGAGGGAGGAAGGGAAAGAGACAGAAACATCACTGTGAGATGCCTCCCATAGGACCCTACTGAGGCCAGGGATCAACCTGCAACTAGGTACATGCCCTCGACTGGGAATCAAACCTGTTGCTCTAACCACTGAACCCAACTGGCCAAGGCTAGATTTTTTTTTTTTTAATGGGCTTCTCTCTCCAGCTATTCTTTCTTTATTTCTTTTTTAATTCATCGTCCATCATGGAACTAAATTACTGCACACTTTCCATGGGCTACACTGTGCTGCACCCTCACCGCAGTCGTCTCGCTGAATCCTCAATTCCGTGGGGTCCATATTATGGTCTTCATCATTTACAGATGGGGCAGTTGAGGCCCAGAGAGGTTAAGACACTTGCCCTGGGTCACACAGCTGGATGTGGCAGAGCTGGGATCTAGACCCAGGTGATCTGATTCCCAGGGCTTTGGTCTTAGCCCCAAGCTGTACTGTCCTCGAGCCTTGATTCTAGACTCCTGACCCTTCTTTACACTCCTTCCCTCAGCTACTGTTTCAGCTGATTTCAACCACTGCCTGAGTGATTCCTGAGCTCCAGCCTGGCCTCAGTCCGCAGCCCCCTTCACAGCCTCAAGGCCATCTCCTCTTGAAAGTCTCCAGGGACCAGAAGACCTCAGCACAGCCAGTCAGCTCCACCCACCACTACCCACCCAATTCTGGTTTTCCACCCACCCCACCTCACACACACCTCTCTGGTTTTGTTTTTCCTTTCCCCTCACAGTCCTACTGGTTAAAGTGAGTTCATCTGCCTTTTTTCTCTCACATAACAAAGGACCTGATATTCGATTCAAGTGCTTATTCATTCAACAGACTTTTACTGAGCACCTCCTAAGTGCAAGTCACCGCTGGAGATGTGGAGGGAGTACAAGGACGAGCCAGGACAGCCCCTACACTCCAGGAAGTGCAGAGATGTACATGAGAACTTACAACACAGCCAACAGATACCGAGAGACACCTCAAGGCACAGCTGCCATGCGCTGGCTCAGGGCAGGAGAGAAAATCACGCTTAACATGGATCTACTTGTTACTTACTTAAAATCACTCAACTATGACTTAACACACGTCAGGCACTGCACATATGAACACATTAAATCCTCATAGCAGTTCTGTGAAATAGGTGCTGTTATCCCCATTTTGCAGATGGTACAGCTGAGGCCCAGAGTGATGACTGACTCACAGTCACACAGCTTGTAATGATGGAGCGGGAGTCGGTGCCCGAGGCACTGTGACGTATGGCCTCCCCATATGGGTGCGGATGCTGATAGGCCCTCACCGGAAGTTTGTTCTGACCTAGGTCTCGTGCCAGGAGCAGTGAGCCACATTAGCACTCAGGTGAGACAGGAGGGAGAGATGACCTTCAGAGGCTGTGCAGGGAGGACACTGAGCTTGGCCTGGCAGAGAAGGGCAGGATTTGGACTTAAATTGGGGAGACCTGGAAGCTTGTATTCGAGGGATTTTCAGACATCAAAAGAATAAGTATACAGATACTGACTTACAATGTTGTACACCTGAAACTTATGTAATGTCCCCTCTTGCCTTCCCGGTCCTCCATGCCGAATTAACGTCCCGCGCGACACCCCTACACTGAAGCTCCTCGGGCGGTCCTCTTTCTGCCTGGACCCGGACCTCTGTAGCTCTGTGGTACCGGGAGTGGTGCTAAGACAGACCCCACGATGGTCTGAAGTCGGGCTGGTCATGTCCCTGCTGGTGCAGTGGGTCCTAGTGACCGGCGACATGAGATGGCCTCACACGCTGGGGACTGAGCTGCGGCACCAGCCGGGGCGGGCAGCCTCCTCAGAGGTCTGGATCCTGCTCTGTGCGATTCTCCAAGCTCCGGCAGCCCCACCTCATCTCTGTTTTCCTTTTGCTTTCTTGGGTCTTCAGCACCAATTCTGTATATTACCATTTCTCTGTAGAAATGCCTGATGTATTTTGTTTTCTTGACTGGGTCTTGCCTGAAAACACTTCCCAAGTGGCCCACTTTCCATGTTCCAACCCACCCTGCCCTGGGCATCAGCAGACAGACCTTCACGACATGACCTTTCATCCTGTGGCTCTCACATAAAGCCCACCAAGACCTCCCCCAGACCCCTCCTCCCCCGTCAGCCCTGCCCCACCTTCCAGCTCGGTCTGCTCCTCTGCCAGATGAGGCTGGTGGTCCTGGGGCGCTGCATGAGGTTGCGCGGACGGGTTCCGGGGCGGGGGCACGCGTGTGGTTCCCTTGGAAGACGTGGTGGGAGACAGCAGAGCGAGACCTGAAGGGCTCGCTCAGACCTGAGGGGTGAGCGTGACTCATGCCACGAGCGGCACATTGTAGTCCCACGGGAGGAAATTGTAGGCGAGAAAAGTCAAAACAGAAGTGAGCGGATAACTGCGTGTGGTGTCAGGTGGGTGCTAGGTTTATCGGGGTGATCCTTTAGTAAGTTATGTAATGTCCAGTCACTGGGTGTACACCTGAAACTAAAATGATACTGTACGTCAACTGTAATCGAAAAATAAAAAACGATTTACATTTAAAAAGAGAGACGTGAACAGAGCAGGAGGCCACGGAGAAATCCAGTAGAGAAGCGTTGAAGCCACAGTGAAACAGGGAGCCAGGGTGAGAGGTCCTAGCATCCTTGGTGCGCCAAGGATGCTAGTCAGGGGGCGTGCGTGCCGAGGCAAGAAAGCAGAAAACAGGTGACCTGGGGGCTGGGTGATGGTGGACAGTCAGGTGTCCTGGGGTCTGAGTGGTGGTGGACAGTCAGGTGTCCTGGGGTCTGAGTGGTGGTGGACAGTCAGGTGTCCTGGGGTCTGAGTGGTGGTGGACAGTCAGGTGACCTGGGGGCTGGGTGATGGTGGACAGTCAGGTGTCCTGGGGTCTGAGTGGTGGTGGACAGTCAGGTGTCCTGGGGTCTGAGTGGTGGTGGACAGTCAGGTGTCCTGGGGTCTGAGTGGTGGTGGACAGTCAGGTGTCCTGGGGTCTGAGTGGTGGTGGACAATCAGGTGTCCTGGGGTCTGAGAGATGGTGGACATTCAGGGGTCCTGGAGTCTGAGTGGTGGTGGACATTCAGGTGTCCTGGGGTCTGAGAGGTGGTGGACATTCAGGTGTCCTGGGGTCTGAGTGGTGGTGGACATTCAGGTGTCCTGGGGTCTGAGTGGTGGTGGACATTCAGGTGTCCTGGGGTCTGAGAGATGGTGGACATTCAGGTGTCCTGGGGTCTGAGTGGTGGTGGACATTCAGGTGTCCTGGGGTCTGAGTGGTGGTGGACATTCAGGTGTCCTGGGGTCTGAGAGATGGTGGACATTCAGGTGTCCTGGGGTCTGAGTGGTGGTGGACATTCAGGTGTCCTGGGGTCTGAGAGATGGTGGACATTCAGGTGTCCTGGGGGCTGGGTGATGGTGGACAATCAGGTGTCCTGGGGGTCTGGGTGGTGGTGGACAGTCAGGTGTCCTGGGGTCTGAGTGGTGGTGGACAATCAGGTGTCCTGGGGTCTGAGAGATGGTGGACAGTCAGGTGTCCTGGGGTCTGAGTGGTGGTGGACAATCAGGTGTCCTGGGGTCTGAGAGATGGTGGACATTCAGGTGTCCTGGGGTCTGAGTGGTGGTGGACATTCAGGTGTCCTGGGGTCTGAGAGATGGTGGACATTCAGGTGTCCTGGGGGTCTGGGTGGTGGTGGACAGTCAGGTGTCCTGGGGTCTGAGTGGTGGTGGACAATCAGGTGTCCTGGGGTCTGAGAGATGGTGGACATTCAGGTGTCCTGGGGTCTGAGTGGTGGTGGACATTCAGGTGTCCTGGGGTCTGAGAGATGGTGGACATTCAGGTGTCCTGGGGTCTGAGTGGTGGTGGACAGTCAGGTGTCCTGGGGTCTGAGAGATGGTGGACATTCAGGTGTCCTGGGGTCTGAGTGGTGGTGGACATTCAGGTGTCCTGGGGTCTGAGAGATGGTGGACATTCAGGTGTCCTGGGGTCTGAGTGGTGGTGGACAGTCAGGTGTCCTGGGGTCTGAGAGATGGTGGACATTCAGGTGTCCTGGGGTCTGAGTGGTGGTGGACATTCAGGTGTCCTGGGGTCTGAGAGATGGTGGACATTCAGGTGTCCTGGGGGTCTGGGTGGTGGTGGACAGTCAGGTGTCCTGGGGTCTGAGTGGTGGTGGACAATCAGGTGTCCTGGGGTCTGAGAGATGGTGGACATTCAGGTGTCCTGGGGTCTGAGTGGTGGTGGACATTCAGGTGTCCTGGGGTCTGAGTGATGGTGGACATTCAGGTGTCCTGGGGTCTGAGCGGTGGTGGACATTCAGGTGTCCTGGGGTCTGAGAGATGGTGGACATTCAGGTGTCCTGGGGTCTGAGTGGTGGTGGACATTCAGGTGTCCTGGGGTCTGAGAGATGGTGGACATTCAGGTGTCCTGGGGTCTGAGTGGTGGTGGACATTCAGGTGTCCTGGGGTCTGAGAGATGGTGGACATTCAGGTGTCCTGGGGTCTGAGTGGTGGTGGACATTCAGGTGTCCTGGGGTCTGAGAGATGGTGGACATTCAGGAGTCCTGGGGTCTGAGTGGTGGTGGACATTCAGGTGTCCTGGGGTCTGAGAGATGGTGGACAATCAGTGTAGGACTCGGGCGGAGGCCTTGCAAAGGGGGACAGCGTGGTAGCAAAGGAGGCCGAGCAGAGCCGTCGGTGGGAAGGTGGGGAGGGCACAGGGCAGCACCTGCTGCCAGCACCCTTTGTGAGCATCTCCAGATTAAGTTGCCCCCAACAGTCTTATGAGAAGTCCAAACCTCAGGCTGAAACTGTGACATAAACCTTTAGTTTTGAGGGACCAATTTATGGGGCTGTCCACTAACAGAGGAACACAGAGGGGATGAACCATTGGGGTGAGGTGAGCCTGGAGAAAACAGTTGCCGTGGCAGCTAGACTTGGCCCCTGGGAAGATGGACCCACAGTGGCACAGGCGGGCACACCCAGGTGGAGGGGCAGTATCACCTGGAAATGAATTTTAGGAGGGTGAGTGTAGCATTTTTATTTTTGTTTCCCATAAAGGCAGAAACCCTCAACTCCCACCCCCGCAAAAACAAAACAGACAAAAAAACACAGTCTGCAGGGCCCTAACTATGGAAGCTGCTGGCTCAGGTTGGTTCAGACAACCAGCTGAGCCTGTCGGTCTGCCTGGCCACACCTTCCTGGTCAGCGCCTGGAGGGAGGGATCGATGGGCTTGCAGAACTGTGGCTCTGGCCGCCCTGGGTGTTGAAGGTGGGTCTCTTGGACGCAGGACCCTGCCAGCGGCCTCAGAGCAAGTCCCCGCGAGAATCAAGTACACTTTCTCTGAACTTCATTGGTCTCTGGTGTCCAGACCAGCGTTCTGGAGCGGGAAGTCCTGAGTCAGGTCAGACGGCTGTGAGGTTTGTCTTGTGCTCTGTCCGCATAGGGGACCCCGCAGTGGGCAAGACCGCCCTGGCCCAGATCTTCCGCAGCGACGGGACCCACTTCCAGAAGAACTACACCCTGGTGAGACGGGGGGAGGTAACCCCGAGACAGCTTTTCCAAGGCCCCGCGGAAGCCCCGAGAGGCCCGGCGAGAGGCTGCTTGAATGGCCACGTGGGGAGTGTTTTCCGCAAGCCGTAGTGGTGGGTCTGTCTGCCGTGGTCACTCTGTCACCACGCACAGCTCACTCTTGGGCAGGGAGCTGGACGAGACTGGTTGGTCCTCTGTGACTTCTGCACCACCGTGAGCCCCAGACACAGACACTAGGCTGGGATGTCCCCTGGGCGCAGGGTGCTCGTTGTGTCCTCCTGTGACGTCCCTTGGGGCCCTCTGACACACACGTTCTTGGTTTTCCTCCGCAGACAACAGGGGTAGATTTGATAGTGAAGATGGTGCCAGTCCCTGACACGGGGGACAGTGTGGTAAGTGATCGCCGTCATCCTTCCTATGAGAGGTGTTCAGGGACTTGGCCCAGACCCCTCTGAGCTTTGGGAACAACTTGGAACAGGGAGGGCGAAGTAGAGGGAGTAAGACTGAACTGTGGGCCCTCACAGAGCTTTTCGGGGTTCTCAGCCGGGGTCCCTCTGGGTTCCACGCCTCCTGACATCGATTGCAAGGTGCTGTGTTTGCGCCTTCCTGGGGAGAGGGTTAAGAATCACCGCTCTTACAGAGGTCCACGAGCGAAAACCAACTTCAAGTACCCCCGATGCAGGGAGAAGGGGTGAGGCAGGTGCACGGGTGACCAGTGAGCTCGGTGACTGGTGGCCGGCCAGACACCCAGTGCCCGGAGGAACTAAGGGGGAGTCTGGGGAGACGTCCTGGGCAACAGCGCTGGGGAGGGGCTGTCCCTTCTGCTGGCCGAGGTTTGGACTGGGGCTGGAGGGCCATCCTGCGTCCTGTCAGAGTCACACCTTAGCCATCAGAGTGACGGCAGACTGACCTACTCTGTACGCCTCCCCAGGCCTCCTCAGTGACCTCCTTTAAAAAGAGTGGTTCAGAGATTTGAAAATCAATTTGGTTAACAAAGTGCGGAATGACCTTTTGGAAACCGGAGCACTTGTCAGCCTGTTTAGCATTCTGTTCTGCCAGGTGGGAAGTCAGCTTGTTCCTGGTTTCTCTGCGCTTGAGGTTAGGGAAGGTGAGCGCCGCACAGAAAGTGCTGGCCGGTGTGCGCACCGTGGTCCTGGCTCGAGATGGAGGCCGGAAGGCCGGAGGCTGGCCTCTCCCCGTGCGCGCTGCCGGCCCTGGGGAGGTGCAGCCCCTGTGCGTGTGTGTGCACAGATGTGCGCACAGGTGTGTGCACCTCCCAGGGAGTGCCCTGCGGGCAGTGCCGCTGGCTTGCAGCCCCCAGCGTGTGGACCTGCTTGGACACGCCTTTCTGATTCCAGGAGCTCTTCATTTTTGACTCTGCCGGCAAGGAGCTGTTTTCTGAAATGCTGGATACATTGGCAAGTAGCGTGCGGTTTTATATCCTAACCACCACCACCACCACCACCACCACCTCCTGCCAAAAGCTCCGCCCCTTGGACACTCTCACAGACCTGTCACTCACTGGCTGCCGGCAGAAGCTATGGTGGCAGAATTCTCTAAGGGGCGCTCCTCCCAGCCTCGGGACCTGTGGCCAGTGGGGTGGCTCAGGCATGTGACCCTCTGCCCCAGCTCTGGTGGCTGGTTCCAAAGGTGCTGGAGCTCTGGCTCGGCCCTCACAGCACCCACCCTGGGGCCTCCCTTCTTGGAGCAGCCCCTCCCGGTGGTTTCCTTTCCGCCCTCCTCAGCCTCCCGGAACGAAGCACACGTTTCCTGACCCTCCAGGGCGGGTCCCTAGAGCCCCATCCTGAGGCCCACCTGCCGGCCCACACGCTGGCCCCGTGGGCTCGGCTCTGGGATGTGCCCCTGCTGCCCAGGGCCCCTCGTGCCTGTCCAGCATCCTCCGGATCCGGGTGCTGTCCTTCCCAGGTAACAGCTCTGCGAACCTGGGCCAGCGAGCTCATTGGAAGGGCTGCGCTCTCCAGAGCCCTCCGCTGCCTTTCCAAGAATGGCCACATCTTAATAGAAACTGTTCTCTGCCCCCGTTTTGATTGTTGCCTAAGAGAAACGGATTGATGACAGTAAGTTCACACAGGATGGGTTCGTGCATCAGTTCAGGGTCACTGCACGCCTGCCTGCCTGTGCACGGCTGGGCGCTGGGTGTTGCCCTGCCCAGCAGGAGCGAGGATGTGCCTGGCAGGTCAGGGCCACGTTCAGCTCTTACCCTGCCTCCAGGCTCCGCGCTCCAGCTGCAGCTCCGTCCTAGGATGATTCTGGGTCCCCTGCTGAGGCCTGGAGGAAGCAGGTGTCTCCCGAAGGCTCCGGGCAGGGGCCAGGGGCGTCTGTGGTTCCAGTTCGAGTTCTTGAGTTAGTCTGTGGAGTGAAGGTGGGAGCGAATCATCGCGTAGTCTGTGCCCGGTCCTGCCGGCCCCGCCAGCCAGCATAGCCTGGGGTGAGGAGGCCAGCCCTGCAGAGCGACTCGGCTGACCTTCCAAGGAAAACGGGAGGGGAGGATTCTCCCTCACACTCTGGGAGGTTTTGACACCCCAGAAATAAACCAGGCTCTCACTGCCTAGGGTGGGGATCTCCAGGGACCGGGGTGTGGCCATAAGTCACGTGTATCACAGCCTGAGCAGGGCTCTCCGTGGCCCCGTGCCAAGCGGCAGGATGCCTAGGACTCTGAGCAGTTCCGGAAGGTGACAGCGCCTGAGAGGCAGCCCTGGTCTTGATTGGGACAGAGCGCTGTCCCGTGGTCTGGTTTGGACTTGGGCTGGTACAGCAGGAGAGTAAGGAAGCACCCTCCGCATTTTGAAAAGCCAGCCATTACGAAGGAGATGCAAGCAGCACGCGTCCATGGACTGGCTGGTGACAGAAGGGTGCTCTTCTGGGCCTGCAGAGCAGGAAGGCGCTCTGGCCTGCACGGCGTCAGTGAGAACGAGAAGGAGGATGAACTCCGGGGCCAGGTGCTCCGGCCTACACGGGCATCAGTGAGAACGAGAGGGAGGGTGAACTCCCGGGCCAGGCGCTCCAGCCTGCAGGGGCATCAGTGAGAACGAGAGGGAGGTTGAACCCCCGGGCCAGGCGCTCCGGCCTGCACAGCGTCAGTGAGAACGAGAGGGAGGATGAACTCCCGGGCCAGGCGCTCCAGCCTGCAGGGGCATCAGTGAGAACGAGAGGGAGGTTGAACCCCCGGGCCAGGCGCTCCGGCCTGCAGGGGCGTCAGTGAGAACGAGAGGGAGGATGAACCCCCGGGCCAGGCGCTCCGGCCTGCAGGGGCGTCAGTGAGAACGAGAGGGAGGATGAACCCCCGGGCCAGGCGCTCCGGCCTGCAGGGGCGTCAGTGAGAACGAGAGGAGGATGAACTCCCGGGCCAGGCGCTCCGGCCTGCAGGGGCGTCAGTGAGAACGAGAGGGAGGATGAACTCCCGGGCCAGGCGCTCCGGCCTGCAGGGGCATCAGTGAGAACGAGAGGGAGGATGAACTCCCGGGCCAGGCGCTCCGGCCTACACGGGCGTCAGTGAGAACGAGAGGGAGGGTGAACTCCCGGGCCAGGCGCTCCGGCCTGCAGGGGCATCAGTGAGAACGAGAGGAGGATGAACTCCCGGGCCAGGCGCTCCGGCCTGCAGGGGCGTCAGTGAGAACGAGAGGGAGGATGAACTCCCGGGCCAGGCGCTCCGGCCTGCAGGGGCGTCAGTGAGAACGAGAGGGAGGATGAACTCCCGGGCCAGGCGCTCCGGCCTGCAGGGGCCTCAGTGAGCACGAGAGGGAGGATGAACTCCCGGGCCAGGCGCTCCGGCCTGCAGGGGCGTCAGTGAGAACGAGAGGGAGGATGAACTCCCGGGCCAGGTGCTCCGGCCTGCACGGCGTCAGTGAGAACGAGAGGGAGGGTGAACTCCTGGGCCAGTGGCAGGCAAGGGCACCGCTGTTGAGAGCAATGCTGCCGTCCCCCCTGGTGTGGAAAGCGTGTGCGACCTGGGCAGGTCAGTCGCTACACTACAGCCTGGTAGGGGTGTGAACCCACCCTCGACCTCCTCGCTGCACCTGCCCTGCCCGTGCGCCCAGCCTCCACGTATTCCTGTGGGTGAATCGGTTTCTTCTGTGGGTGTGGCTCGGTTTTCAGACTCACGTGGCCTTTATAGGTTTTCATTTCCCTTCATCCACGTGTCCCTTTCCAGAAAACTGGCCACATCTCCCAGCCTAGAAGTCACTGTCACTGACGTGTCTCATCCTGTCCCTCTCGCACAGTGGGAGAGCCCCAACGTCTTGTGTCTCGTCTATGATGTGACCAACGAGCAGTCCTTCAGCAACTGCAGTAAGTGGCTGGAGAAGGCACGGTCCCAGGTTCCAGGCACCTCCCTCCCAGGTAGGTTTGCCAGCAGCACCTCCGCCCTTCAAGTTCAAGAGCACAAGGTCATTGCAGTGCTGGCTATGGGTGCAAGAAGGGGGTGCCCTGGGCTTTGGGTATGATGGTCTGGCGTGAACACAGACCTCAGTGAGTTACCACACACCTCTGAGCCTGTAAAATGGGCATGATGGCACCCACCTTGCAGGATTGTGGGGAGACTCAGGTAACAGGAGGAGGGATAGGGACGTGAGTTGTTATTTCCAGAAAGCTAACCCGGGAAGAATCCTTCATTTTCTCCTGTCTGTGGGGCACAAGTAAACATGCAAGTCCTGTCACTTCTGAATGCTTTAAATCAATTTCTTTTTCATTCGTATGTGAGATCAACAAATCCTCCTCATTACAGACCAGGAAAAATGATCTCCAGAGACAGGCTCAAAAATTAGCTGCAGCTGAGGCAGCTGGGGACAACTAAATTACCTCCGGATCCCTGACTCGGAGCCCAGTCCTTAGATTAGCATTAATGACCATTTGTAAAGTTTGCTCCATGAGCTAGGAATTTACCGCAAACGCTCGCATGCATTGGGCCCTCGCCTTCAGGGCACTTGCAGCCTTAAGGAAACAAAGCAGACAGGTACCCGTGAGGTCTAGGAAAAGGGCCCAGCGGAAGATGTATGAAAAGCGAAGGCTGCTGTGCTGTGGCCCTTGGGGTCAGCACGTTAGTGTCCTGGTCTTGCTCCCACTGGGCAGCCTCACACGAGCTTCCACGCCCTGCAGGGTCAGCCTGCTGGCCGCGTCCCTCCAGGCTGCCAGGTGAACACACTGACTGTTTGGTTGTTCTTCTGGGTAGGTGTGTTAGTGGGCAACAAGACAGACCTGGCCGGCAGGCGAGCGGTGGACGCGGCTCAGGCCCACGAGTGGGCGCTGGGCCAAGGCCTGGAATTTTTTGAAACATCCGTGGTAAGTGCCTCCACTTGCTCGGTAGCCGAGTGTGGGGTGGGTCTCTGCTGGACGCGGCATCTCACGTGACGTCATACACGTCAAGCTGATTTGGAACTGATGTTTACATTCTTAGCCCAGGATCACCTCTCGGTATAGCCAGAGTCTCGTGATTTCAGCAAAGCAGATCAGCCAGCCCCAGGAAAAGTTGTGTCTCAGTGAAAAATACAAGCGGATTGTATTCAATTACAGGGACGCTTGACGTCTGCATGAGATGCTATGAGTTAGGTGTTGTTGGAACATTACTTCATAGACCCTCACATTCAGCCCTGTGCACCAGGAGCTGGTCCCCCAGTTCCCACTTCCATGTTGAGGAGGTCAAGTGACTTGCCCAAGGTCACACGACTCGTGGAGGCCTAAGCCAGGACTGGGATCCACAGCTTCTGATTCCCCTCAGTGCTCCCGGCCCCCCTGCCGCGGCCGAGGTGCCTGCGGGCCCAGGCTGCCCTCCAGTAGTCTGCAGGGGCTCACTGAGAGGCGTCGGAGTGATCCGTTCCTGGCACCCTCAGTACACACACTTCAGGGTTTTAGCTGTCCAATGCTGGTGAACCCCCTTCCTGTGTTAGGAGTTTCGTGGTCCCGCCTCCCTGCGTCCAGGGTGCAGGCAGGCATGTGACCCACGCTGTCCCAGTTCGACGTGTTTGCGTGTCACTCTGCAGATGGGAGTGGAGTGAAGACGCCCCTGCAGGGCAGCCTGAGGGGCTTAGAGCCAGCAGGGCCCAGGCGCTGCAGCGCCTCCCGGGCTGTCGGGGAGACCCGCAGGCGGGGCACATCCACGGTTGTAATGTGGACCTCACCCCTGGCCTTGTGGCCCCTGGACCGTATCCTTTAGCCTCCAAGAGACAGTGGGCTAATTAGCCAATAGCCTACAGGTCGTTTTCTACTTAAAACCCACGTGAGCCACAGACAGTTCGTTGTTGCATCTATGAAACTCGACAGACCAGTGCTGCTGCCCAGTGGCTGTACGGATGGAGCGTCGAGCCCCCAGAAGGGCGGATGGGAGCGTCCAGCGCCCCCCAGAATGGCGGATGGGAGCGTCGAGCCCCCCAGAAGGGCGGATGGGAGCGTCGAGCCCCCCAGAAGGGCGGATGGGAATGTCTAATCCAGCAGAAAGGCAGATTGGAACGTTGAACACCCCCCAGAAAGGCGGATGAGAACGTCGAACACCCCAGAAAGGCGGATGGGAACGTCGAACCCCCGTCAAACCCCCCAGAAAGGCGGATGAGAATGTCAAACACCCCAGAAAGGCGGATGGGAACGTCAAACCCCCCAGAAAGGCGGATGGGAACGTCGAACCCCCCAGAAAGGCGGATGGGAACGTCGAACCCCCCAGAAAGGCGGATGGGAACGTCGAACACCCCCAGAAAGGCGGATGGGAACGTCAAACCCCCCAGAAAGGCGGATGGGAACGTCGAACACCCCCAGAAAGGCGGATGGGAACGTCGAACCCCCCAGAAAGGCGGATGGGAACGTCAAACCCCCCAGAAAGGCGGATGGGAACGTCGAACACCCCCAGAAAGGCGGATGGGAACGTCGAACCCCCCAGAAAGGCGGATTGGAACGTCGAACACCCCCAGAAAGGCAGATTGGAACGTCGAACACCCCCTAGAAAGGCAGATTGGAACGTCGAACACCCCCAGAAAGGCGGATGGGAACGTCGAACCCCCCAGAGAGGCGGATGAGAGCGTCGAACCCCCCAGAGAGGCGGATGGGAGCGTCGAACCCCCCAGAGAGGCGGATGGGAGCGTCGAACCCCCCAGAGAGGCGGATGGGAGCGTCGAACACCCCGAGAAAGGCGGATGGGAACGTCGAACCCCCCAGAGAGGCGGATGGGAGCGTCGAATCCCCAGAGAGGCGTGCTTGCTAAGGAGGGTGGAGCAGGCAAGGCAGGCGCTCTGAGCACTGGGGAGGCAGAACTAGCGTGGTCTTCGGCAAGTGACTTAACCTGGTGGTGCCCCAGGCTCCTCACCTGTCGCGTGGAGACAGTCAGCCATGCCCCTCGTTGAGGAGCAGGGTGAGGCTGAAGTCAGATGGGGAACCAGAACACTTAGCCGTCGGGCGCTCCGTAGACGCCCCCTGGCAGCTTCCCTAAAGTACATCCGCCGAGTCATCTAACTTACATCACTTACTAAACCCTGAGTCCCCAGGTGTACAGACGTGCCACTCTTGCCCTGGCCCACACATCACTAACGCTAGCTTAGTGAAGTTCGGATTGGCGAGCGGGATTCTGACACAGCACACCGTGGCGCAAAGCAGTAAGCCGTGCTCACAGCAAACAATGTTTTACTATTCCCCTTCCGACATTCCCCTTTGTGAAACTGCCTCCTCACCTCAATATGCCGTGCTCCCCAGAACTCTTGATGGAGCGCAAATCAACTCCAGAGGGCCCGGGGCTCCGGTCTGACTCTGCTCGCGTTTGTAGCTGCGTTAGGGACCCACGGGTATAAATTGACTTGCAGAGGCTGCAGTTAAGCACTTGGTATTAACTGTGCGAGTTAACTAGTCCCCCCTGAGAAAGCTGTAATTAAAAAGGAAATATAACCGAAGTCTGAGACAGGCCAGTCTTGATGCCAAGATGCAGCATTGCGAAGGCAGCGCAGTCACTGGCAGACCTCACGGTGGGCCCACGTGGCTACTCCACCCTCTTCATTTCCATCCCCAGAGCTACTCCTCTTACCACTGCAGGAGTGTACTCTCTGACCACCTGCACCCGTGTCACCCCCCGCCCCACCTCCCCGCCCCTGGCAGCCTCCAATCTGCTCTGTTTCTGTGAGGTCTTGTTTTTTTAGATTTCACGTGGAAGTGAGATCGTATGGTATTTGTCTTTCTCTGTCGGACTTATTTCACTTCGTGCAATGCTGACCTCCACGGTGGCTGCGCCAGTTCGCCACCCCACCGGCAGTGCACAGGGGTTCCCTCTCCGCGTCCTCCCCAGCACCAGGCCTTTCCTGTCTTTGGTGACAGCCATTCTAACAGGTGTGAGGTGACGGCGCACTGTGGTTTTGATTTGCATTTTCCCCGATGATTAGTGATGCTGAGCACCTTTTTGTATACCTGTTGGCCATTTGCATATTTTCTTTGAAAAAATGTGCACTCAGGTCCTTTGCCCATTTTTTATCCGCTCGTTTGTGTTTTTGCTATTGAGTTGTCCAAGTTCTCTGTTTTGGGTATTAGCCCCTTATCGGTGTGTGGTTAGATGTGTTCTCCCATCCTGTAGGCCCCCAGCTCGTCGTGTTGTCGCCTGTGCTGGGCAGAGCCGTGCAGTTCCATGGGGCCGCTTGTCGCGTCAGCTTTCCCTGTGCTCTTGGTGTCGTTCCCATAACACCATCGCCAGGATCGACGTCAGGGAGCTTTGGCCTGATGTTTTCTCCTGGGAGTTTTATGGTTTCAGGTCTTAAGTTCAGGTCTTTGATCCATTTTGAGCTGGTTTCTGTAAATGGTGCAAAATAGGGGTCCAGTCTTACTGTTTGACGTTGGCGTTGCTGGGAGTTTATGCTCTGCACAACCCACGGAGCTCGCGGGCAGGACAGTTCCTCCTCTCATGTCCGCCCTACACCTGACCAGAGAGGTCACTGCAGCGGTGTTCACAACAGCCACGGTGCGGAAACAGCCTCGGTGGCCGTCGATGGACAAAGCGATTATGGTACATATATACGCAATGGAATGTTATCAAGCCATTAAAAAAATGGAAATCCTGCCATTTACAACAGCGTGGATGAACCTGGAGAGCATTATGCTAAGTGAAATAAGTCAGACACTCTAATATGTGACGTCGTTAAAAAACAAGGGCGTGGATACAGAGAACAGATCAGCGGTTGCCAGAGGTGGGTGGGGTGGGAGAAACCGGTGTTTCGTGTTTGTTTTTTTTTTAGTTTAAATAAATTGGATTAAAATTTTAAAATATGTATGTGCACACGGTGAGAGAAGGTCCTTTGAACAGTTAGTCACAAAAATATCATTTTTGTTATTAAGCTGCCTAGCCCTGGTGACGGTCGGAACCCTGACTTGATTTAACGCCAGCGCCTGCCCTGCGCCTGCTTTGGGAAGCGGGGTGCGGCGGCTGCTTCTGCTTCTGCACCTGCGCCTTCCCCAGCTCAGTCACAGCCTGCGGGGAAAGGGGAGAGGTGCAGAGAGAGGGGCGGGGGTCTCTACTGCCACCTGCTGTGCCCCCCCCCCCCCCCCCCCCGACTTGCCAGGTGTCTCAGGCCGATGCTCCATCAGCACTTCAGATGCCCCGCCCTGCCCCCCAGTGGAGCTCTCAGCTGCCGGCTCCTTCTGGCAGGTGACCCCTCCTCACCCCTCCTGCAGCCTGGGGTCCCGGCTGGCTGTTCTTGTTGGGACCCATGCTCCTGGAAGCTGTCCCTGCAAAGTCCCGGTAAGACAGCTCCAGGCTGGCGCTCCTGTTCCGCCCCCTGGCTGTCTGCTGCTCCAGGGCCGGGAGGCTGCAGCCTCAGGTGGACGGAGGAGCAGGGCTGCCATCCTGCAGAGCCCTCCCCTGGCTTGGCCACCACAACAGCCAGCCCCATCACACGTCAGTTCTTCCCTGGCCTGGACCCAGCACGGGCCGAAGCCCCCGGCCTCGGCTTTCTCTTGGCACCTCCTGCTGAGCAGGGTGCCCTCCCGGAGGGAAAGGCCACAGGACAGCCCTGACCTGGAGGTGAGCGCGGGCCCATCTTGCCTGGCCCTCCGTCAGGAGTGTGGGGTCCTTGCTGTGTGTTATGTTGCCGTGGCCTTTGGGGCCTCAGTCAAAGACAGGCCAGAAAGAAGTCTCCCTTGAACACCGTGTCTCAGCGAGTGGCTGGAAGGACAGGCTCTGCGGAAGCAGATGTAGGTTCAAACCCAGCCCCGCCACTGAGCGTGGCTTTGGGCAGGTTACTCACTGTCGCTGTCTGTTTCCTTCCGGCTGGAAGGGCACAATGCTGGCGGCCTTCCCGCGTGGTGTGCGGGTGAATGAGGTGTGTGTGGACGGGAGGCGAGGTGAGTGCCGGCTCTGGTGACACAGTGTGACCGCCCTCTGACCTGTCTCCACAGAAGGACACGAAAAACTACGAAGCCCCCTTCCAGTGCCTGGCCCGGCAGTTCCACCAGCTGTACCGCGAGAAGGTGGAGGTTTTCCACGCGCTGGCGTGAGGGCCTGGGTGCTGCAGGCTGTCTGGCCGTGGGCCCGTCTCCTCGGAAGACGAGAGAAGACGGGATCACCCGGCGCCTCCAATCTGTCGTGACAGCTTCAAATAAAATGAGAAAATGTAGCAGCAGCAGCTCCCCCGTCCTTGGCCAGGCAGCCTGGCTCCATGTGCACTTTGGCTGCTGGTCGCGGAGCAGCCTGGGAGCCGGGCTGCGCCTGTGGAGTGGGTGTCCCCCTCCCTGAAGGGCCTTCCACTGAGAGCAGCCCCCACAGTCGACTCGACTCCCCAAAGCTGAGGTGCCGCAGGGCTGGGGGCCCCCCCTTTCTTATTCTAACACCCTGGGTTTGCTGCCTGTTCGCTGTCCAGCTGCCCGAGCTCCCTCACTGGGGCCACTGTCACCAGCCAACAGTGCCCTCTGCTGGCCTCCCTGGTTCCTCGCAGGGAGCCAGCCCCTCCCCGCTGCCGGGAACCCTGAGCGCCCAGGGCGCCGAGAACCAGGCCACTTCCCTTTGGTGACCCGCTCGGCGCCGGCAGCAGTCATAATTCTTTGTACTGAGCTTGACTGTTCTCCATCCTCCTCTGCCAGATTAATCTTCCTAAAGCATGGCCTTCGCTGTGATGACAGCCCCCGGAGGCTCCTCGGTGCCCTGTGCGTCGGGGCAGGTGTGGTTGGCATCGAAGGCCACCTCTGACTCACCCTCACCCGAGGGTCTCGGCCTCTCGGTTCTAGAGCACCAGAGGGCGTCGTCACCCCAGCCCGAGCCTCGGAGTGGGGGGCAGGGTGCCGAGAGCGCCAGCTGCGGGGGCAGACAGACCTGGGTTGGTCCCAGCGACTGTGATGATCATGGAAGTGGCTCTGGGTACTGGTCCTGACCTGTCCTGTCTCTGCAAGAGCTAAGCACGTTACACGTATGGGCTAATTTAATCTTTACAAGGAGAGTCTTATCCCTCTTCACAAGTGAAGAACCGGAGTCAGGGAACTAGGTGACGTAGCCGAGTGAGAGCCAGGATCACGGACGCCAGCGCGCTCACAGCCGCCCCACCCCCTCCTGCCGCCCCGGGCTCGGCCAGGCCTGAGAAGGTGGCGGGCTTTTCACGCAAAGGGTGAGGGTTAGGCTGCCCTCAAGGTCACTGTGACCAGGGGAGTGGCAGGAGAAGGACACCTGGGACATGGGGTCACCCACGCCAGGCCCCTGCCTTCCCCCTTGCCCTGGTTACTGCTCCGGGAAGTCACTGCAGCCACAGCCGCTTCCTCCCGAGTCCTCAGAGGAGAGCGCCGGGGGCCGCCATGTGCGGGCATCTCTCCGGCGCCAGCAACGCCAGGCTGCCTCCCTCGTGTTCCAGGGGGAAGACCTGTAAATCCCCCAGGAGATGTGGGGGGGACATGTACCGTTGCCCCAGAATTGGTAACGCCAGGCTGCCTCCTCGTGTTCCAGGGGGAAGACCTGTAAATCCCCCAGGAGACCTGGGGGGGACATGTACCGTTGCCCCAGAATTGGTAACGCCAGGCTGCCTCCTCGTGTTCCAGGGGGAAGACCTGTAAATCCCCCAGGAGACCTGGGGGGGACATGTACCGTTGCCCCAGAATTGGTAACGCCAGGCTGCCTCCTCGTGTTCCAGGGGGAAGACCTGTAAATCCCCCAGAAGACCTGGGGGGGACATGTACCGTTGCCCCAGAACTGGTTACTGGGAAGCACAGCTGTGGACAAAGAGATGCTAAGTAACCCACTTCCTAAAGAGAGCACAGAAGGCTAAGGCCAGACACCTCCCCTGTGGCACAACAGGAGCTGGCAGAATCGTCACTGCCTCCAGAAGCCACCCCAACCCTTGCTCTTCCCTGTCCACATAAGAATATTGAGGCGAGGGAGCGAGGGTCGACGTGGTGTTGGCGAGTGGGTACCACTCCCTCTGCCCCACCCCAGAACCAAGCGAGCGAGGCCCCGCGGGACTCCTGAGATGGAGGCCGCTGCCAAGAAGAGGCTGGCACCTCGTGCCCAGCTGGGTGCTCACCGAGCTGCAGAAACCTGGTGCCAACTGCAGGCACGGTGGTGAGGGCATCCTTGGGGGAGCCTGGCAGGCAGCCCCAGGAACTGGGGGGACTCAGTGGGGAGAAGCCTGCATCATCAGCAGGGAGAGCAGGTACCCCTACCTCAAAAGGCCACAGACGGGTGTCACTGGGTTCTCCAGACAGGTCCTGGGCACAGGGAGCTGCTTTCCCCTGGAAAAGTCGGGGGCTGTTCTGCTGGCAGGGCTGGGGCATGTAGCCACCCACCCCTCAGGAAATGCCAGCCACAGAGGAGGCTCGGCCCCAAAACGGCCAGGCACCCCTATCTCCAGGGAGATCACAGTAGAAGGGACCAGCCAGGAGCAGAAGCACCCCAACCCTGGGGAGGCACCCAGAGAGAGAGAGAGCTCTTGCTCCCCCGCTCCTGGAGAGGAGCTCTGGTCATGCCTCGGAACTTCGAACTGGCCTGTCTGAGTTTTCACAAATAAAAGTGCCCGAAACGTGTTCAGAGTGGCCTGTCCTGAGGGCCCAGCAGGAAGGGGGACTCAGCAGAGTGGTGGAAAGTAAGATGGTTGAGATGTGGAGCCCACTGAGTCGAGATTCCCCAATGAACTGGTTCTGCAATAGAGAAATGATGGAGGTGGTTTCAACCGTGCCCCATGCCATCCAGACAACAGAATGGGCCTGTGACGGGCCGTGATTTGTGGGGTAACTAGGTTGGGTGGGCTGGAAAAACTCAGGGGAAGTGACAGTGAACTTAAGGTCTGACAGTCACGTGGCCATCAGGGGGACAAGCCATCCAGCAGCAAGGACAGCAAGTGCAAAGGCCCTGAGGCGCAACATGGAGAGTCAAGGACCTTCAGACCAGCGGAGGTGCCTGGTGGGTGTCGGGAAAAGCAGAGGGAGGTGAGGTGAGCAGGGGCCACACTGGGAGGAATCTAGATTCTACCACAAGGCTACCGGATGCCAGAGGAGAAAGACATCTTAGATTTTATCTCCTCGCAATGCCCGGCACAGCTTTGGAAACGTAGTAAGTGGTTATTAATTCCCCTCAAAATCACTGCACTTCCCTAAAGAGCTCAGGAAAGACCTCCCTGAGAAGGTGACCTCTAAGACGAGAGAGGGCAGAGTCTGGCATGCACTGGGCAAGGCTGGTTCATCAGCCCCTCAGGTGGGCCCTGGCACTCAGATGAGCATGGCCTGTGTGGACGGACTTCGGGGAGTTACCGAGCGGGCTGCGACTCGGGCCCTGTCCTAGAATCACCTACAACCCGTAGAGGAGAGAGCTGAGCAACACTTGACTTCGACACCCCTGGGGGACCCAGAAAGCGCCCGGGCCAAGGTCTCCCAGCTGCCGCAGGTGGGCGCGGGAGCCCAGAGCCCCTGCTGTCTCCTGGACTGAGGAGGAGGCGCTGGTCACTGTCCTCCACGGTTTCCTTCCCTCTAGAAGTGGTTCCCCCCGGCTCTGTGAAGCTGACCCTCTGCAGTGTCCTTAGCTGCCTGCTGACACGGCTTGGGTTCACCCACCAGGACAGGGAGGCCCAGGGTGGGGCGGGGGGCAGACTCCGCAGGCGGGCTCGTTTTGGAATGAGTGTTCAGAACCGTAAACCGGTTCCCCAGTTCAAACACGATGCCTCTGACGCTCAGGCACTTTCCTTTGTTGGGGTTCCTGTTCAGATGTGGGGAGTGTGGGAGCAGCCCCGGAGGTTGTCCCCAGACCCAGTGGTTCACGGTGACACTTCTGCCGTGTGAGCCAGCCCTGTAGACTCTGGTGGGGGAGGCGCATTGTTAGAACGTCTTCTGCAAGGAGACTGGTGGACAGGAGGCAACCTGCTCAGTGTCTGATAAAATGCATTCGTCTCGGTGCTAAGATGTTGTGTTTTTTAAAGTGGAATACTGAAAACTAAAAATGTCCTGTCCCAAACTGGGGTGTTCGTAAGCATGGTTTCAGTGGCGCCCAGGGTGGGAACTGAGACTCATACTAACCTAAAGCTGTCGGAGGAGTCTGCCCCTCTGGAGATGTAAAGAGAAGTCTTTGGTTGTGCACCTGTGTGGCCCAACCACACTGTGTCCATTTCTGTGCAGCGCCTGTGATATCAGGGGTGACTGAGGCTGTGTCCTCAAGGATCTCAGATCTGGTGGGCAGGGAGGGTTTCCAGGGACCTTGCAGGAAAATACCTGATGCTAATGGGGGAAGAGCATTCCAGACAAAGGAAATAGCATGTGCAAAGGTCCTGAGGCATGAAGCTGGGGGCCCTCTTGGGGAACTGCCTGCAGTGCAGGGTGAGGAGCAGGGGAGAGGTTGGAGAGAAGGCAAAGCCAAAGCATGGAGCTGTGATCACACAGAGCAGAGGAGTCGGGCTTTTTCCAGAAGGGAGTGGGGAGCCAGTAGGGTTTTAACAGAGGTGACTCACCTGGATTTCTGCTTTAGAAAGATCAACCTGGGGGAGGGGGGGCCTGGAAGATGGAGTGGGAGAGAAAGTGCCTGGAAGTAAGGAGACCAGGTAAGGGACATCACAGTTCATCCGAGAGCTGGTGGGGCAGGGAAGATGAGGCTTCATCCACCTCTAGCATTAGCAAACACTTGGGAAACATCTTTCCAGCCCAACTTAGAGCTGTCTGCCCCCCTTTTCCAATTGATCTTTTTAAATGTGTTATCCTTTACTTACTTTGGAGACAGACGAACCAGAGAGTGACTTCTTTAGGTTGCAGATGGTTAGTGACAGAGCCAGGATTAAGAATGCAGCTTGCAGCCCTGTGTGGGTTCTGTGGTCGCTACGCACGCGAGCTCGGCCGCTCTTGCTCTGTGCCGGTGAACAGAGCAGATAAACACGAGGAGGCGCAGTGGCGAGCTCGTTCCCGTGCTCAAAATGCAAGAAGACTGGGAAGGCTCATTAGAGGAAAATATCGACCGAGCAATGTCCAAGTGATGTGAGAGAAAAGTGCATCTTTTTTGCCAAAACCATTATGTAACTGGTTCTGAGAGGGGCAGAGGGGAGTGACCCCTCACTGAGCGTGGGTGGGGCAGGAGACCAGGAGAGCAGAGGCGACATCCGTCCCTAGAGGACAGGGACTGCCCTTGATACTCCTCGGAGG